AAAACAATTTTGTTTGCAGTTTTGTGACTTATTAAAAGTGATTATAATAAAGTGCGAGTGGAAAGTGCTGCTCATTTGCTTCTATTTCAAAAACAACGTCGAATATACATACATACTTTGTATGAAAACAAGTAAGAAGGTCTAAATTCGGGCGGAGCCGAACATTAAATACCCGGCGCAAGTATTCAATATATATGATTTTCACCTTTCCGAAAGCTACCGCTACATGGTAAGACGGGGTGTATCAATTTTGAGTAAATCAACGTCCTTAAATTTCGAAATAATGAAGTTTCAAGCATTTCTGAAATTTACCGTTATATGAAAAGCGGCCTCAATTTTCGTCCGATTTTGATAATTTTCAACGTGTTGCTTTTATGTGGCAAGCACAATAAACATACCGAGTTTGGTACAAATTGGTAGAGCGGTTACCGAGATACATATATGTGATCATAAGTGGGCGGCGCCACACCCATTTTCCAAAAGTTTATCATAAACGTATTCCTTGGTAAAGAATTGTTGCAAGCATCAATTTCGAATCAATTAGCTTTAATATCGACTGATTTATCGAAGGTTTCATATTTCTCCATATTACCGTTATATGGGATGTGGGCGTGGTTATTGTCCGGTTTTAAATTTGTTTGGCCATTTGGTATGCTGTAGCAAGGTTAACAACTGTGCCAAGTTTGGAAGAAAATGGTGAAGCGGTTACCAAGCCATAAACATGTAACCACAAGTTGGCGTAGCTACGACCATTTTCCAAAAATTTATAATATTCTCATTTTTCGTCTAAAAGCTATTGTAAATATAAATTTTGAGTAAATAATTTGCAGAAGTGACTAAAATATCGCAGTTTACGTATTTATGAAAATTACCGTTATATGGGAGGTAGGCGTGGTTATTGTCCGATTTTTCCCATTTTCAATACCATCCGTCCTACGCCCGAAAGAAGTGAACGTACCAAGTTTCGTTAAGATACCTAAATTTTTACTCGAGTTATCGTGTGCACAGTCGGACGGACGAACAGACGGTCGGACGGACAGACGGACCGACGGACGGACAGACAGTCACCGCTTTATCGATTTCTCTTTTCATTCTGATCATTTATGTATACATTTGTCTATATCTATCTCGATTCGTTTTGCCTGTTAAAAACACCCGTTATGTGAACAAAGTTATAATACCCTTGTGCACAAGTGCGCTCGGGTATAAAAATGCGTAACACTGTCAATAAAAAACAAGTAAGAAAGTCTAAGTTCGGGCGGAGCCGAACATTAAATACCCGGCGCAAGTGTTAAATATATGATTTTCACCTTTCCGAAACCTACCGCTAGATGGTAAGCGGGGGTGTATCAATTTTTAGTAAATTAGCGTCCTTAAATTTCGAAAAATTGCAGTTTCAAGCATTTTTGAAATTTACCGTTATATGAAAAGCGGCCGTAATTTTAGTCCGATTTCAATAATTTTTAAAGTTTTGCTTTTATGTGGCAAGCACAATAACCATACCGAGTTTGCTACAAATAGCTAGAACGGTTAGCGAGATACATATATGTGATCACAAGTGGGCGGTGCCACGCCCATTTTCCAAAATTTCATCATAAACATATTTCCTGGTAAATAATTGTTGCAACCACCAATTTTGAATAAATTAGCTTTAATATTTACTGATTTATCGAAGATTTTGTATTTCTCAAAATTACTGTTATATGGGATGTGGGCGTGGTTAATGTCCCATTTTAAAAATTTTCAGCCATTTGGTATGCTGTACCAGGACCAACAACTGTGCCAAGTCTGGAAGAAATCGGTGGAGACGTTGCCAAGATATACACATGTAACCATAAGTGGGAGTGGCTGCGCCCATTTTTCAAAAATTTATAATATTCTTATTTTTCGTCTAAAAATTATTGTAAATATCAATTTTGAGTGAATAATCTTCAGTAGTTACTAAAATATCGCAGTTTTCGTATTTCTGAAAATTACCGTTATATGGGAGGTAGGCGTGGTTATTGGCCGATTTCGCCCATTTTCAATACCATCCGTCCTACGCCCAAAAGAAGTTCACGTACCAAGTTTCGTTAAGATATCTCAATTTTTACTCGAGTTATCGTGTGCATAGACGGACGGACGGACGGACGGACGGACGGACAGACAGTCACCGCTTAATCGATTTCTCTTTTCATTCTGATCATTTATGTATACATTTGTCTATATCTATCTCTATTCGGTTTGCCTGTTACAAACAACCGTTATGTTAACAAAGTTATAATACCCTTGTGCACAAGTGCGCTCGGGTATAAAAATTCCAAAAATTAGTGGTAAGCCTTATCGACTTAAAGTTGAACTTTATTATACTAAAATTTAACGAATTTTTTTAACAAATTTTACGGGGTAAACATCTCGAGAAAATTATACTCCAAATTTGTGATGTTACTATAACGATACTATTTCAGGGAAAAAAGTGTTGAAAAAAATTTGCAAAATTACTTTTATCCTGTATTTGGCTTTCATAAATATGGTCACCGTAAATATATGTATTGTCAATGGAGACAGCTGTTATCTTGATAAACACTGCCTGCCTGTTAACTTGACAACCAGATTTTCATTTGCAGAAAATTTAGTGGAGGTTGATTTTTAGTATGATAGCAAAATTGAGCTGTTTTCGATTGGATTATACAAGACTGCGAAATCTAATTTTTACCCTTTCCAATAATTAAGTTATTTTTTTAAATATCTAGGTATATTAAATTAAAATAAATCTTTGGTTCTTTTCCAGCACGTCGAGAGTTACATGTTAGAACTTTTACCAATGTGCATGAAAAGCCACAAATCAATTTCCACCCTGGAACCTACTACCAGCTACTTTTATTAACCAGCTTTTGACTTATCCAAAGCAAAACACTCCTCCTTTACTATACAGAAATACTTTTCTTGAGATAAAACATGAGTTGAGTACCAAAGGTTGGAGATTTTTATACACAGATGGCTCCCAGGATGAATACAATACGTCCTTTGCAGTAGTTTCAGAAAAAGGGGCACTCATCAAATCCGGACTTCTGTTCGCCCACAGCTCTATCTTAGCCCTCGAAGCGCTGGCGATTAGCGTAGCTATCGACTACGCAACCACAGTTAAAGGTAAACACATAATTTGCACGGATAGCAAGGCCTCTATAAATGCCCTACAAAACACAAGAAATAATGAACCATTGATAGAAAAAACACGGTCAATGCTTATTAAATGCAAATCAAGAATCAAAATAATGTGGGTTCCAGGACATTGCGGAATAAGTGGCAACGAACTTGCAGATGAAGCAGCAAAAAACATTAGCAAATCCCCGAGCATATACTTTGACATCGGCATCAAATCTGACATCGTCCGGAAAGTCAAATCGCTTATGAAAGTAAAAACGGAGAACAAATGGGCAACGTATCGACATGCTTACACTCACGACAACCCAAATCGGAGTAGGCCCACTATCCCACAGGGAGCTACAATACAACAACTAAAGATATTTACAAGATGCCGGCTAGGACACACGAAAATCACTCACGAACATCTATTAACTGGAAAGATACCACCAACTTGCACCAGATGCAACTGTACATTGTCCATTAATCACATTTTAGACCAATGTCCAAAATTTTCTATTGCTAGGAATAATATTTTTCAAAATAATACGCCAACAAATTTATTAAAAAGTTTTTCTATCGAAAATGTAAAAGCAGTTTACAACTTTATATACCAAAACAATCTTTTATATCAAATCTAATAAACATACATACATACGTTTTTAGAATTGTAGCTAGGGATATTTTATATAATACTAGTATAAAAAATCCTTTAGTTTAAGTTCAGGCCGATAGCCTTTGTCGCTAGCGCCTCTGCAATGTAATATAATTATTTATAATTATATTTCTTTTAAAAATAAATAAAAATAATACAATTTTTACTTACAATAGTTTTTGTATTAATACTCATAGAGAGTTTACGAAGTTAACGCTAGCAATGCACGGTAATACTAAGAAAAATTATGAAAGTTATCTTCTCGAAAAAATTTCGTGATGAAATTTTTTATTATTTTTTGGCAGCGTGGTAGCTATACGTACCCAAATCGCTGATTAGTTTTTTAAGGGGGAAAACCGCAAAAGCGTGTGTTATTATTTTTAACCGACTTCACAAAAAGGATGAAGGTTATCAATTCGTCGGAATATTTATTTATTTACTTATTTTTTTTTATGTGTGTTATCGCATAACTTTGGACCACGTTAACCGATTTCTATAATTCTCTTTTTAAAGGAAATATGTTACCTCAGAGGTAGTCCCATTATAATTTGGTTTAAACCCGATCGTTGGATCATGAAGAGATTTACGATAATCTTAAACTTTTAAATGAGAATTGAAGTCAGTCTTGTTTTTTTGCTTAAATATTACTTGTTGGTTATGTACTTGGATGTGAAATAACACATTTTCTAAAAAATTTTAAGCAAATTTGCGCTTCAATGCAGCGACCATACTTATTTTAAGTCTTCTTAGTCGAATCAAAAGTTTACATCATTAAATTGAAAATTGAACAGTGTATACGCCTTTTAAATACAATGATTGTGTACAATTTAGAAATAATAATATTCTGAACGAAATTTTTAGAAAATTTCATCGCTGCTTCAAAACTTGAAAAGGAGGACAAGGAGGACATTTTTGCTCAAAAGGAGGACAGAGAAGGACAAAATTTTTGAGGAGGGCAAATCACGTTTGAGGAGGACAATCTTCCTCAAAGGAGGACGGTTCGCCAGCTTACGTTACTTTCGGTATAGCGCTGAGTCAAATTACCGACCGACAAATGGAGAATAACTATTTATTGGACGCGATTTCGATTCGTGGCTCCACTAGTAAATCAAGGTCAAAATCTCAAAGGGCTAATTTCTCAATGTTTTAATAAGCACTATAAATAACAAAACTTTTAAGAATCCTAAGTTTTATCAAAGATTGTGTGATTGATAATATTTACAAATAACAGCATTTCTCAATGCGATATAAAAAAAGAAATACTCACATTATAGTATATGCTTTTTGATGGAGTCTCTCCCGTCTCCAGAATATTGTCATAATTTCGGTGATCTATAAGTAGAATTCCACCTGGCTTAAGACATTTTTGAAAATTTTGAATGGCCTGCTTATGTTCGCGTTGATCACCGCTATTATCCATTAGATGGGCGAATGAATTTCCTAAGCAAATAACAGCGTCAAACCCATCTCCAACAATTGGTTGTATATCCTCGTACAACGTCAACCAGTTAGCTTCTTCTATAACTGTTAAAGTAATCAGTAGTAGTATTTTGAAGATCTTAAAATGTACTACTTACTCCACCGATCGAATGCTGGTTCTTTTCGCCTGTTCCAACGTTCCTTCAAAGCGTATTTCAGCATTTTGTCTGAGGCATCCACCGAGACCACATCATAGCCTTCCTCCAGTAGCATAATAGAATCAACGCTACATACATACATATGTATAGGGTGAAGAAAAACGTGAATAAGTACTTTAGCGTGCATATGTATGTATGTAAGTGCATATGTATAAGTTTTTTGTAAACCAAACGTATTTCGCAAAAGATTGAGTTTCTTTTTGTTTTATTTACAGTTTTTGATGCGTATACATAACGCTCGGATCTGTACCCTTTTTCGCAGTATAGGCCTGTATGCAGCTCTCAAGAAAAGCAAAAACTCCATATAAAATCACGTACAAGAAATGGCTAAGAAATTTTCTTGAGTCAAATTTCCTTAAGGCAGTACGCAGTTCTTAAGAAATTTACTACGCTTTCTACTATGGTTTTCTAAAGTTTTTTGTGAAAAAAGAGCACAAGGCAGCCCAGGTTTGCAACAGAAATATATGCCCGTCCATTATTTCTGGAGGAAAGAGTGAGGCAACAGGCTGTGAAGTATCAAAAATGTCAAAATTCCTTAGACACACACACGAAATAATGGCAAAATTTTCTTGACCGTTTTCTTGAGAGCTGCATACAGCCCATATAATACTTTTTTTTACTTTTGTTATTATAAAATTTTTTAAAAGCATTTGTTCTTAAAATGAAATTATATTCAGGATTTAATCGGCAAAGAATTGGCCGATGCCATAATCAAATAACTAAATAAGAATACTTCATTTAAGAATCGGCCAAAGAACTTATCGAGAATAGTATCTTTTAAAACTAGAATATTGTTGTTGTGCACCTTTAATTTTTGTAGAAAGTGAGAAATTTGGATATACATACATGGCTTCTTATAGACACACCATTTTGTCTAGGGGTTTACAGCGGTACACAAACTACCCGAAATTCCTTTATTTTATTGGAAAACTGTTTCAAAAATACTGTACTATAAAAATGGTTTTATTTTTAAATTGAGATACAGCGAAACGGGGTTTTTCGCAGTAATATGCAGTTTTTGGTTCGAAGAAAGATACGAGCGTTATGTATACATCTTTGGTTTCGGTAGGGCTTAGCATGTGTATTGCAGCAGAAAATGTTGAATTTCATTAGAAGCACCCCGTGTTGACTTGCTATTGCAAATGGTTGCATAGATCTAGGCATATTAAGAGTAAAAGGAAATGCCGTACAAATGAATTTGACTTTCTATTATGCAAACTCCGAGAATGCATACGGCTATGTACCTATATGTGTACATACTTAAGTTTGTATGTACATATCGCACGTTTAATAATATAGAGATTTAGCTCAAAATTTGCGTTTTTGGAGATTTCATCACACAAGCATGCGTATGAACAAAATGCAACACCGCATATCAAGATAATGCAAAACCGCGTATGTGAGGTTGTATAAATTATTTTCTAGATATGTAGTACAAACACTCATATTTCAAAATGGTTCTCTTTTTTATAAAACAATCGCATTTCTGGCTAGTATATTTCAGGACGAATGGATAAAGATTCAGCCAAGAGCTTGTGTGAGCAAATCCAATTTTTGGAAGCAAATGCCAGTTACGCATTTTTGCAGAATGACGATACGCGGTTTTGTACTTTAAACGACGATAAGTAGAATATGTTCAGTCTAACAGATAACCAAACTTCCCAAATATGGGGAAGATATGTGTCTTTCCATCTGTTATTTTGTATACCAACTGTATGAACTGATAAAACTTTGATTGCGTTTCCCACAAAATTGAAATTTTGAAATACTTCGTTATAATATTAAACGTGCGATATGTATGCATGTATGTATATATATAAAGCATAGTTCACTCAAAATCGGTACGCATGAAATGGGTTATATCTTTTAAACAGGTTTTCAGAAAAAAATATTTAATATATTAAAATAAAGGCAAGTATTCCGCTATAGATAGATGTTTGCGAAAGATTCATATTTTGCTTGGATAAATAAACAAGTAAGAAAGTCTAAGTTCGGGCGGAGCCGAACATTAAATAC